ATTTATCTAAATTTATCCATAAGAGGGTTAACTCATTCCTTGTTTAGTTTTACAGGGGGAATTGTACAAACTTGGAGTAAAGGGTAAATTACACCGTAGTGAAAATCCCTTGGATTGTTTCCAAATGCAATCAAACTACCTGCTGAGTAGTTAAGAAGAAAATGAAGGGTGCATGTAGATACTTTCGAGCAGTTAGGCAGTTTATAAAGATATAAAGCATATGCTATGAGCTTCATCCTAGCCTGGGAGTGACTAAATTGCTACATGACACTTGGAGAACACAAAGTATCTTGAGGTGGGCTCCAGAACATTAAATTATAGAAGGAAACGAATAAGCTAGACAACTTGCCAAAAAACGAGCTCTCTAACTAGGCGCACTGGACAGTGTGCTAAAATTGGAACTAGAAAAATGACTTGAGAAAGAAACACACAAGCTCAGTACAAAAGCACCAGGTATGAGGCAAGATAGAAGATTCATAATTTTGCTTTTTGAGAGAATGCCTAAATTTCCTAATGGCCCAAGTAAATCAAAACAAAGAAACTTCAAGGTGGGTTCTAAGATATTACGGTATAGAATTAAACGCACAGGCTGACCAACTCGCGAAAGAAGGAGGCCCTCTCACCTTTGGACAGGAAAAATGGCTCGAGAAGGAAAAACGAAAGCACCTGATATGAGGCAAATTAAGAGTTCGTATATCCTTCAAAAAGGAAAGCCGAGGAACTAAGATTTGAGGAAAATGTCAAATAAGCTGATAAGATTTGAGGAAAATACAGGCCTCTATACCGGCCGGCTCCTGCTATCAAAACTACCACCTCTATACCGGCCGGCTCCTGCTATCAAAACTACCACCTAACCTATAGGTAGTAGTGAAGTCTCTACTTGACTCCATAAAAAACGGATACAGGGTGTAAGTCCGTGAACTGATGTCGACGAGCTGATGGTCCGTGCAGCGGGATTTGGCAGACTCGGTAGCGACGGACTCGTCTAGCTGGCACCCGGGTGCATTTCGTTCAGAGCCCTGCATCACCCACCTACTTTCGATCCATCGTCAAACAGCAGAAAAGTAAATAGGCATCTGAAATGTCATGAATCTAGTTATTTCGATGGTAGGATGTTTTCAGTCATTTATTCGCCAGTTTCTGTGCGGTAGTCTTCGTGAAATGTACGTCGTATTCCGTGTATTTCCGTGCATTTTTGTGATCAACCTCGTAACCGGTAGGAATGATTAGGGATGCACTATGATCTAATGATTTCCTAATGTGAATATCTTTATATTAATTAAACTGACATACAGGTAGTACGGTTGGTGCTGTTACTTAGGACGAAACGATTTCTCCTTTTAAAAACTTCGAACTGGGTCGAAACAGATCGAACTTTCTGGTCGAAACGAATTGTAGGCTCATGGTCAAAACGCGATATAGCATAGGCAGTCACGTCGCCTGTTGAGAATGAGAGAGATGATGCTGCGAGAACCCTTGTTGCTGTAGCTAGTGCTGGCGGCTTGCTCGACCACAATGGCAAGAAGCCAAAACAGCTTGGATAGACAGACCTATGATCGGAAATTACCAGGTCCATCGACCTGCAGACCTCAAAACGTCCACAATAAACCATCGATAACTGTCGATTCGTCCGATACAGAGAGAAACTCACTCTTTATGCCAGGCGAATTTAGAATAAATATGTCATATTTATGCTACGTTTTAAATTAGGAATATCAATTAGGTAAACACACTTAATCCTTAATCCAAAACAAGGATGAAAGATTTTTCAATATTTACTTTTTACTGATTTTAAAATGTTTATTCAGTCTCATTTGAATTCTGAAGCAATAAAATGTTTAGTTTTCATCTTTGTCTCCTTAATTTCAATTTTTAAACTTGAAAATGCCACTTAGTGCTGAGGATGTTGAGCGTGGTATGGCACTTATTGATGATGGAAATACCATCAGATATGCGGCTATTGCCATCGGAGTCCGTACAAAACTCTGCTAAACGCCGTTAAAAGTTTTCCAGAAACTGGGTCCTACCATAGAAGGCCCGGTTCTGGACTCCCTAGGGAACAGAACCAGAGGATGACCTTGATGATTTTTTGACTTTGTTAATTTTGCGAAACCGGCACCTTACTGTTGTTCAAGCAATTCATCATCTCCAGGAAGTTCTAGGTTTCTAAATTTCTGAACGCACTGCTCGAAGAAGATTAAATCAGTATAGCTGATGGCTTTTCGCCCCGTAAGAGGACCAGAATTGACCAGAGCACAGAGTACAACTCCCATTTGCTCGAGAACACAGCCATTGGTTTTTGGACGATTGGTCTGCTGTACTTTTTACAGATGAGTGTAGATTTGCTCTACGATCTCCAGATGGGCGTGAAAGTGTGAGGAAAAGGCGAAATGAAAGGTACGAAGCTTGCAATTGTTTCCAGAGCCAACCTTTTTAACGTAGCTCAGAGATGATGTGGGCGGAAATTTCAATGGTGAGTCGCACAGGGTCTTTGACGGCCACTCGCTATGGTGGATGAAATTTTGAAACATCACGTGTTGCCCATCCTCGATGAAATCAGCGACAATCCTAATCTGATACACGATAATGCTCGTTCACATGTCGCTCGCATAGTACAAACGTACCTTCAACAGCATAACATCAGGATCTTAGCCTGGCCAGCCCGTTCTTCGGACTTGATTACCACCAGGGATAACCTCAAAACAGGAATAAGAGCACGTTCATCACTTCCTGATACACTCCACGATCTTGAAAGGATTCTTCGTGAAGAATGGGCTCCAGAAAAGAAACATTTCCAGATTGAGAAAGTAAGCCGAAGCGTCTTCGAGATGTAATTAAGGCAAGAGGAGGAAATGCCGCGATATTGAAACGTTATTTTAAAATCTAGATAAACAAATTTTATCTGTCCGTCTTTTTTTGTATTTTTCTTTTCCTTAGCAATTTACATTTTTTTACTTTTTTAGACACAGACTCAATTATTAAACGTTAAAAAGCGTGAAACTTTGATTAATATGTAAAAATACATACAAAGCAAGTTATATTACAAGTGGGTGGAATTTTTCTCCTGTGTGTACATGGCTAAATCCAACTCGTCGAGCCTCTTTAACCACGGGGTGGTGGCAAACAGAAGCACTAATTATAACGGAACTAATTATAAAACACTAATTTTATGTGTAATGAAATAAAACCGAAATAGAATATCTAACATGAATATGATAGATGCAAGACGTAGGAATTAGCCTTACCCTACAATTACGTAAGGACTATTGTGTTTGTTCTATTGATCTCGACCTTCGAGATGAACTGGATATGGGCTTCCGTTTCAGTCATCGCTATTTTTTAATTTCCGTTGTTACATTTTGCGAAAAAAAACAAAACATCAAAGAGACACATTTGATTTTAATATATAATTATCTAATTAGAACTTGTTTAAATGTGAAGTGAGTGCCTGATCGACGAGCCCGTGAAGGCCGTGTGTTAAACACCGACGTCCGGATATTTTGTCAAGCACGAACCGAACGGTGCCGTGTTTTTGCGCAGTTTGGACAAAATGCGTTGTTGCAAGGGGCGGCGTGGAAATATCGAACCCCAGAATTGGAACACCCTCGCACCTCTTCCTACTTATTTTCAGACGTTTCCGTAAATGACCTCCGCACGTCGTCTTTCGGCTGCGACGGACCTCTGCTATTGTTTTAACGGGGCTCAAGGTGGACTAGTTCGTCCGGCAGAGCGGGGATTTGGTTTATATATAGATTTATCTCTACTATTTTTAACAACTCCTCGAACCCCAGAAATCGAGTGCATAGGGCATAAATTAATTAGAGGTTTTTCGAGAACTCGGCCTCACTACGTCCCTACGATCGATTTGCATAAAATTTGGCGAAAACAATTGCCGGTGAAATGACCGCAATAATTTGTTGACGAATTATCCGTTGAACGGGCCAAAATAAGTATGTAGAAGCCACGTTAAAAAACAGTCAAGAATTCCTTGCGCCCAAGCCACAAGAAAAAATGTTGCCAAATATATTCAATTTAAATTAAAACAATATCAACACGAATTACTGTTTAATGCTTGAAGCAAGGAACATGGAAATGGTTCTTAATGAAATGTGTGGCAGTGTGTCTACGAACAAATTCAGCTCATTAAGATAAGCAAGGAAACGTAATTAAGGTCACAACCTATATCACAAAGATACAGAAAGTAAGAAAAATAGAAAGAGACAGAAAGAGTGTGTGCAAATGAAAAAGGAAGAGAATGGGAGGAGAAAGAGAATGTGTGTGTGTTTAAGTGAGTGAGAAAGACAAAGAAAAAGAGAGAGAGAAATGAGGTGAAAATGAAAACAAAAGGGAGGGAGAGGGAGAGAGAGGGGGAGGGAGAGAGAAATAAGGTGAAAATGAAAACAAAAGAGAGATAGAAGNGGAGGGAGAGGGAAATATATATTAAAAGGATATATTAAAAGGGAGTGCGAAAGAAAAGTGAGAAAAAGATCATGAGAGAGAGAGAAGGAGAGAGAAATAAGGTGAAAATGAAAACAAAAGGGAGGGAGGGAGAGAGGGTGTTGGAGAAAGGGAGAGAGAGAGAGAGAGAGAGAGAGAGAGAGAGAGAGAGAGAGTGAGAGTGATAGAGTGATAGAGTGATAGAGAGATCAAAAGGTAGTGAGAAAAAAAGAGAGAGAATGGGAATGAGGAGAAAGAGGGTAAGAAAGAGAGAAAGGGATTTGCTCCTCATACACTACACACTCTCCCATATTACACCCATGTTAAAAATTGTGTTGGACCCTTCCGAGTTACTTAATGGGTCCGTCTACACTCGCTGGTTTTTCGATGTAACTCAAACCCATCTCACGCCCTCTACTATCCCTCATAGAAGATAGCAGTGCAAAGGCGAAACGCATCTGAGTATCAACTTAAAACATATAATCCAAGTTTAGACTTTTCACAGTAATTATACCGTAATTTAATTCATAAGTAAACATATAAACAAAAAAAAAGTGACGTACCTGTACATGTACGATGAGGTCTCCACTTTTCTCAGTGCTGATCATGTACCTCTGAAACATAAATGATAACAATTAATATAGTGTACGGGGATTTAAAAATAATGTCCTAGCCTGAATGAAAACGTTCTCTCAACGGCCTTGTAGTCCGAATGTAATTATTGTCATCAACGGCTTGTAAACAGACGATTCAGATCTCTTTGGAGTTTCGACGAGCCGGCACATTTAGAAATCAAGCAGTCAGGGAAAGTAGTTCTCGACACGACAAGGGCTTCGTGCTCCGACGCACGTAGCACTTGTTGAATTTCTCATGTTAACGGAATAAAACTGGAGTTAATCGTAATACATAAATACGCAACATTGAAAAGGCGCAGTAAAAAACACTCCAGAATCAAAAACTTGATTAACAAACTAAACTACGTGATGATGTACACTGCCGGTCAAAGGTGAAGGACCACCTCAATCTTTTTGCAAGAAAACAACGAAAATAAAGATTTCAAAACAAAATTATATTAAAACAATGACAAGGTATCTGTGCAATAAAACAAAATGACATCAATGGATTAAAAGTAAATACGGTAGAAAAAAATTTGATCTATACGTTTTTTCGTCAATCCCCCCTTGCTCTTCAAGGCGGCTCGGAGTACTTGTGGCAATCTTTCCATAAGTTTTTCTAATTTTTCAAAAGGCATGTTATTCCAACAACTTTGGAGAAAAGCTCCCGAAGGTGTTTTTGTGAAGTTGGAGCATGAGTTCGGACGTTCCTATCCTGTTCTCAAAGCTTCTTTTTGGATTCAGATTGAGCTGGCCAAGTAATGTTCTTCAAAACCCCTTCATTTTTTTTCTTCTAATTAGCCTCCACAAAGTTTGGAAGAATTTTTTTATGTAAAGTTTTTGGTTGAAATGAAAAAGCTAGTGTCACGGGATTCGAACCCAGGACCTTTGGCTAAATACGCCACTGCTCTACCACTGGGGTAACTCATGTTAAGTCACGATAGCTCAAGTGGTAAAGCAGCGGCGTACAGAGCCGAAGGTCGTGGGTCCGAATCCCGTTCGTGGCACTAGCTTTTTCATTTCAACCAAAAATATTAATTAATTGAACGAAGTAATTTGGTCAATAGACCACTAAATATAATGGGTTTGGAAGAATGTTTAGGATCATTATCTTGTTGCATAATAAAACCAGAACCAATTAAACGAAAACCAGAACGGTTTTTAAAATGCCCTTGGTCTTTCAAAATGTCTTTGTACCTCACTTTGTTGAGTATTCCTTGAATTTTCATCTCTTTGTCCAAAGCCCGAGAAACACCCACACACAAAAACTGAACCTCCTCATGCTTAACAGGATTGCTTGGTCTTTCAAAATGTCTTTGCGCCTCTCTTTGTTGAGTATTCCTTGAATTTGTACGAGATCTCCTTGTCGAAAGCCCGAGAAACACCCCCAAACAAAAACTGAACCTCCCCCATGCTTAACAGTCGGGATTAGGCACTGAGGAATAAACTTTTCTGATGGCGTACGACGAACCATAATCCTGCGACTTGGTTCAAATACCTGAAACTTTGATTCGTCAGCCTTGAGTATTTTTCTCCAATCCTCCACTGAAAAATCCTTATGAGCAAGTGCCCATTGATACCTTTTCTTCTTATTAACAGGGCGTAGGTTTCAGTGTACCGACACACCCCAAAAAGTTGGCCTCCCTAAGTCTGCTTGTTTCGGTTCAAACAGAAATTGATTTTTGGTGAAAGTATTAACCTGAGCTCTAATCTGGGGGCCAGTGAGTCATCTGTCCCTGTTGGTTTTGAAAATAATAAATTTATCTTTCTGGGTAGATGTTAAATACTGGGTCGTCCTGATCGAGCTTTGCCGTGATGAGTGTGTCTCCTCGAAGCAGCAACAGGGGAGTTATGGACCCGTGTTTTTTAATTTTTTAGTTAAGCGGCCATGTGGCGATCAGATTAGTTTATTTTGTGTAGTGTTTAAATTGCACTGCGCAGTTACACAGGAAATTCCTTCTTTTTACCCATTTTTGAGAGTGAAAACAGAAAAAACTTTATCTTTATTTTTCTCGTTGTTTTGCTCACATCTGATTAACTGAATTGACTTAAATACAAGTTTCTACAAGGTGAGGTTGAGATGGGAAGTTGGTGTTCGAGTGGATTGAAGTCACGATAGCTCAAGTGGTAGAGCAGCGGCGTATTTAGCCGAAAGTCTTGGGTTCGAATACCGCTTGTGACCCTGACTTTTTTATCTCAACCAATACCTTAAATACAGATTAATTAATTGAAAGATATTATTTGGTCAAGCGGACCAAGAACACTAATGAATTTCTACAGGGTATTCTATATAATCGCTGTTTTAAGTGATTTTGATATTTTGATTTAAATATACAGGTGGTCCTAAACTTTTGACCGCCAGTGTATAAAGTAGGAGGTAAATACGGATGGATATACAGACGAATTAATAGTTATTCATCTATAAACAAACAACGAGGATAGTAAATTAAAATAAATAAATAAAAAATGTGTACATAGTGCGCAACAAAACAAGCAAAGATTATCATTCATGTTTGCAATTAGCTACGACCTAGGGTCATTAATTCAGGGTCGGTCTTTGTTTTTCTAGTTTTTATACTAGCTCAGTTGGATTTTATAACAGACAGAGTAAAGCAGAAAACATTGAGAATAGATTTAAAAATTCTCATGTTTCTTGTAGGGCGATTATTTAAAACAACATAATTTGTGATAGAGCGACCTAGCAGTGGATTAAATTTTTTTTTTAACAAGGAACAAAATTGATATTCGTTTTTCCCAAACTGAAAAACCAAACAATACGCATTTTGAGGGAAAAAATATCTCTCAAATTTTTCGCCTTCCTGAAGGCTCAGAAATTTTTCGACAATCACAAAAATTGTCCTTAACTCTGTAACAAATTTTCTGATCTACGGAAACTTTAGAAAGGCTTAGTACCTCACAAACTGCAAGTATTGGTACAAACATGTTATTTGTAACAAAATAACAACTTGAGATAAACAAAATTTCGTTTTGAGGTTTTGTTCATTTCATATTTACTTTTATCAATTATAACGACGTTAAATTTTAACATTGTTGACACAATTGATGATTGCGATCAGGGGTGTGGTCCAAATAATAAAAAAAATTTTTGCCAAGCTTTTGGCTTTTTATTAAGCCTAACTCAGGGCTCTACAGAAGGATAAACATAATTATTTTAATGGCATAGGCTCACAATAAAACAATGTTTGCGATGAACTTAAGGATATTTATTTTAAAAAACAAATAAAAATGAAATAAAAGCGTTGAAAACTTTGTTGACACAGGCAGAAAGAATACAAGTGAAGCTTTCTAACGATTGTAAAAAAAACATTGAATTTGAATAAAATCCATAGAAATTATGAAATTTTAAGAGAATAATCATCCATCGGGGAGGGGAAAAACACATTTTGTGGCTTAGCGTCGTAGCAAAGTAGGTTCAATTTTTTTTCTTTTTTTAAAGCAAGAAACGAAGTTGATGATCGGTTTTTGCACACCGAAAAACCCATGAATAATTTTTTAAAGAAAAACTAAGCAAAATTTTTTTAATCTCAAATTTTCGCCTTCCTAAAACGCTTCCGACGTTTTTCGAAAATCACAAAAATTGTCATCACTTTCCAACAACTTCTCTGATCTATCTGATCTTTTGGGTTTAGAACCGTATAAACTACAAGTAACGGTATACTATCTGTAAAAAAAAAAAATTACAACCCGAGATAAAATAAAAATCAATCGTTTGAAAAGTTCTTGTTGATTATCTTTATTTTTCTCACAAATGATAACATCAAATCTACATTTTGTTGACATAGCTTGAAAGAAGAAAAATTAAACTTTTTAATGATTGTAATAACGTGGAATTTGGATAAGATACAGATATTTTACGAATTTTTATGTGGAACAATGGACATGGGAGAAGAAAAAAATGACCTGACCTGAGTCACTCATTCCAAAAAAGTCACGCTTTTTGTTTCCTATAATTCGTTGAGGGTTATAGAGTGCTTAAAACCAACTCAAAATATTTTTTGCAAAAATATTTTTTTTAGCATATTTTACAGAAAGTGTTTTTTGATTTTTGATACATTTTAAATCACAAATCTAATTTAAGTAGGATCCAGCGTATTATTTTCTTATTTTAGTTTAAAAAGCAAATCTTATGAAATGTATAATCTTTAAATACTTGCACAACGTAAGCAGAAAACTATATGTTAAAAAAGTGCATAAATTACCTAAAAAAATGTTATTCGGCTTCTAGGGCCAATTGGCAAGTTAGCTCAGACACCTGTATAATATTAATCGACCTAGTATCACAAAAAAAAGTTTCATTAAAATAAATTATCCTTTCGTATTTATTGTACACCGAAAATCGTACAAAAATAAATGCCCTCTGGCTAATCCAGCCCAAAAAATTTTATTTTTTGTCTGAATACAATTAAAATACATGAAATAATTTAATCTGGAATTTCACCAACAGATGTACTTTTTACAATCCCTTTGTCATTTCCAACATTAAAAATGGCCTCAACGATGAGAAAAATGCGACTTTCATAGGCCCTATTTTGTTCCCAATGGCTCTCTTCGATTCTCCCCCATACTAAAATTTTCAAAAGAAATAGACCACATAGAAAGTAGAAACGTTAAAGCCAAGGGGTCGATTGGGAAGGAATGGTCGTTGTTTATTTATAATTTGGTTTTCCGTTGGTATTTAATTGAATGACCTTCTGCCTTTGCATAAATAGTAAGAAGGAAAATTGATCGAAATTAATAGTATTCATTTGCTTAATGGGGCTGGAGCTAATGCGATATATGGCGAAAAGCGTTTACCACGCCTTTTATCTTCACAACAGTTTTGTTTACCAGAAGGGCGACTTTAATATTGATTCGCCCTCAACTGGACCAGTCTTGGATTTTTTTAGTTAACTTCATTTTTTAGTAGCTTGCCTGTTTGCCAACATCTTTTTTAAATGTTTTTTAAATCAAAATTTCATGTTCAAAGATATGGCCGGTTA